CACAAAAAAAATATTATAAAAATATGTTTATTTTTTTTTTTTTTTTAGCATATTTTTAGTGAAAATATATATATACATTTTTTTTTAATATACACATTTATAAGTTCACATTTTCCACATATTTTATAATGCTCTAAATAAAATGTATGTATGGCTTCTACTAATTGTTGTAAAAATTACATTGATAATACAAACTAACAAACTATGTAACTTACAATTTTTATAATTTATTGATTTTAGGAGAATTTATTTACTTTAATAAAAATCACTTTATTTTTATTAAAAATATGAATCTTTGCTATTTATTTTATGTAAAAGTCTTTATTTTTTTAAACTTTAGAATATTTATTACTTGTTTTATACACTTTCACAAAGCTACTATATGTTATTCCAAAAATGTTAATAATATATTTTATTAACCAAATAATTAACAAACAAATCAATAGTAAGTAGACTATGTTCTACAAAATTTAATAGTTGTGAAAGTATTTTTTTATCAATAATATGTAATTTTTATATAAATAAATTAAATAACATGAAATATATAGCTTATATTTTATGGCCTATCTTCTAATTAAAATATAAGGATTAATATATTATTTATTCCTATTACATCAGTTAATTTAAAAAACATTTAAATAAGTTAATTAAGTATAACTTATTTAAGAATATAAATATTAAACATAGATCATTGATTGTATGTGAAATAATTTTATTACTATAGTAACCTTCTATAAATGTTATTTAAAAATCCTTTTAATAAATTCTAATTTTTTATTCAAAAAATAATAAATTCATTCTAAAAATTTTTTAAATGAACAAAAATATTTAGCTATTATTTTTTTTTTTTAACTACTTATATGAAATATTTTTTAAAATGTCAAACATTTATATTTATCTTTTTATTTTATTTATACTTTACTAATATTTAAAAAATTTCAATGATATCCTTTATTAACCTAAGAAAATTCAAATATTGGGACTTTGATTTGTTAATTATTTGTTTAAAAACTTTTGTATAACATTGGTCAATAAAAGATATAATTAAAATTTTACGAAATGAGAGATAATAAATTGTATGGAAAATAACGTATTTGTTGTTTTAGCGTATCATTTAATTAAGTAGATAACTAAAAAAAGAAAAATGAAAAATTTTGTTCTTTATGTTGTATATAAAATTTGCTAATTATGATTATTATATTTTAATTTAATAAAAAAAAATTATTTTTATTTAAGTTGTTAGGAATTTTTATTCATTTAAAAATTAAATTTAATTAATCACACTAATTTTTGGAACCACCAAAAGTTTAATTCAAAGTTTAAAAGAAAACAAAAATGATTTAATTTTTATTAACACTTAAATTTAGTGTATTTTTATAAAGTAGCTAATTACATGGAATTTATTTATTTTAATATATTATTTTGAATATAATTAATAGCTTTAATGCTAATTTAAGCTTTTAATAGAAATAAAAATAACTTTATATTAATTAAATAAACGCCTCTGAAACAATAAATATTCTTTTATGTAAATTATATGTATAAAATTTACTTTATTATAAGAGAAATATACATTTACAACAGGTAAAACTGGTAGAGACTAAGGTACATATTCTTAATTCGTTCATTCAATATATCAGTATATTAATATTAGTGTAATATGATGTATAATGTATATATGATTTATTAATATATTCAACAATTTCGACATATCATTGAATGAACATAATAATAAAGAGCATATATGGTGGTTCTTACTAGTTTTAACTGTTATAAAAATATATTTCTATTATAATAAATTAAATTTTAGGTATATAGTTTAAATAATACAATATTTACTATTTTAGAGACATTTATTTAATTAATACAAAGTTATTTTTATTAAAAGCTTAAATAATCATTAAATCTATTAATTATATTCAAAATAATACTTCAAAGTAAATAAATTTAAAGTTATTAACAATTTTTAAAAAATACATTAAATTTAAATATTAATTAAAACTAAATATTTTTTGTTTCCTTTTAAGTTTTGAACATATTTTTGATGGTTTCTATAATTGACTAGACTATAAAATTTAACCTCTAAACAATAAAACGCATTATTTAACAATCTGAAAAAAAAAAAAAAAAATTAAAGAAAATATAAAAGAAAAAAAAATTATAGGATGTCAAAAAATTTTTTTTTTTTCAGTTATCTATTTTTCTAAATATCAATTATAACGAATAACTTATTTCCTCATAATTTACTATTAAATCATAAAAGGTTAATATCATTTATTAACCAGATAGGTATTTTAAACTAGATATATTTTAGAATATTTTACATGCACACAAAATTCATTTTTGCATTTTCATTCATCGTATTAAAAATTCAAAATGGTCAATAATATTCTTTATTAGATAAATGACAAGGCTTAAGATTCAATCACATATAACTTTGATATAACCTCTTTTTCACAATAACTTCAACATAAATTAAATTATAAATAAATAAATTTTATATTTTAATTCAATTTTTTTTTTTTACAGTTTTTATATATCTCTTATAAATTTTTTTTAAGAAGGATTATTTTTTGTGAACAATATTCTATTATGTTTTCGTTTTTTCTCTTTTATTTAATACTAAAATTTAACTGAAATTCTTTATATAATTATAAAAATGAATTAAATATTTTTTTAATATTATCATTATTATGTAAATTCAAACATAATTTAGGTATATTTCAATTATAATAATAAAGAAATATATATATATATATACAAATTTTTTTATTTCATTCTTTTATTTTTTATTTTTTATTTATATATTGTTATTTTCTTATAAAAAGACTATTGCATGTGAAATTTTATTTTTTTTCTATTTATTTTATCTAAACATTAGCTGTTATAACAAATTAATTTATTATTGTTAATTATCTATTTTCATTGAAACTGTTATAAATTTTATTATATTATAAATACTTTAAACATAATATTATATAATTGTATTTTTAATTATACTGCAAAAACTAATATTATGCCATTTTTATTTATATTTCTTAGATAATTAAGAAAACATTTCATTATATATATTTAAAATTATTTTTTATTTTTTTTAAAAGAATAAATTATTATTAGAAAAATCTTTGAATAAATATTACAATTATTTTATATTAAAATTACGATAAAAAAAAGTTTTAAAATTTTTTATGTTCTATAGAAAAAAAATCCTAACAATAATATGTATTAAAAATATATATCCCATAAATGTTAGATTTTATAGGAACATATCTTTAAAAAAAAAAAAATATACATAAACTTTAATATTTAAATAAGATATTAGGAGAGTTTTGAATTTTTGTAAATATTATATATTGTACTAGAAACTATATTTTTTATAAGAAGTAAAATAAAATTTATAAGAAAATGAAATATTAAAAGAAAAAAAATGATTCTACAAAAGCTATTAAGGAAAAATTCACAAAAATCTTAGTAAAAAGTAATAAGAATGTATATTCCTTATTTTAATTTAAAAAATGGCATTTTTATATAATGACGGATGTGAAACTTCTGAAGGAGATTTCACCAAATGTTTTATGAATATATGTGAAATAAATTTAAATAAATTTGAAGCATCATATTGTAGAATTGAGCGACCAGTAGTTGATATAAAGAAGGCTTCAAATAAAAATTTAAATGATCTTTCAAAAAATTTATTCACAGACGAATATACTCCGTCAAATTTAAAATCTAGGATAATTATTCTTTCAAATAATGANTAAAAATATTTTTATATGTATATATGAAAAAAGAAAATGGATACACAAAATATGTACTAAAATAAAAATACTTTTAGGATAATTACAGTAAAAAAAAAAAAAATGTAGATACTTCTTCCCTGTCTACTTCTCCTTCTTCCCTGTCTACTTCTCCTTCTTCCCTGTCTACTTCTCCTGCTTCCTTTTCTACTTCTCCTGCTTCCTTGTCTACTTCTCCTTCTTCCCTGTCTACTTCTCCTGCTTCCCTATCTACTTCTTCATTTTTATTTACTTTTTCTATGTTTTTATTTTCTTTTTCTGCATCTTTATTTAGTTCTTCTGCGTCCACATATGCTTCTCTTGTTTCTTTGTTTACTTCACTTATTTCTGTAACCACATCTCCTGTCTTTTTATGTGTTTCTTCTGTTTCTTTTTCTACTTCTTCTCCTATTACTTGATTTTCTTCTGAGTCTAATGAATGGTTTTCTTCATTATTTACATCAAATACTTCTCCTGTTATGTAGGGTTCTCCGAATGATATTTTATATGGACCCCTTAAGAAAAAAGATGCTATATCTTCTACATTTGTTCTAAAAGATACAACCAATAAACAAAATAAAAAGTTCTGTAATACAACTAAATAAAATAAAGCAGACATTATGAAAACAATTAAAAAAATATATATGTGAAATTAATTTATTATAGATAGAATCAATTAATAAAAAATGATATATAGAAACAATGTGTATATTTCACGAAAATTTAATTTTTTATCAATAAAAAATTTATCATGAAATTTTATATACACCAATACAATAAAGATAAATAAAATTTTTTATTGCACTTTATGCGCAAACAAATTTAAGTAATTAATAAAATTTAAAAATTAAATGAGAATTACAAAAAAAAAAAAAAAAAAAATTCATAAATATATTATTAAAAATATAAAAATTTTAAAAAAAAAAATAAAATGTAATTTTTCTTATATAAAATTTGTTTTAAGTATATATTAAAATAATAAAAAATATATATAAATATATATGATGTGTTTTTCCATACAACAAAATTTAACATACAATATTCATATATTTTTTGAAAATTGAATAATTGTAATAAAACAACCATAACGTTTTTTGTTTTTTCTCTTTTTCGTTTTTTCTCTTTTTCTTTTTTTGTTTTTTCTCTTTTTCTTTTTTTGTTTTTTCTCTTTTTCTTTTTTTGTTTTTTCTCTTTTTCTTTTTTTGTTTTTTCTCTTTTTCTTTTTTTGTTTTTTCTCTTTTTCTTTTTTTGTTTTTTCTCTTTTTCTTTTTTTGTTTTTTCTCTTTTTCTTTTTTTGTTTTTTCTCTTTTTCTTTTTTTGTTTTTTCTCTTTTTCTTTTTTTGTTTTTTCTCTTTTTCTTTTTTTGTTTTTTCTCTTTTTCTTTTTTTGTTTTTTCTCTTTTTCTTTTTTTGTTTTTTCTCTTTTTCTTTTTTTGTTTTTTCTCTTTTTCTTTTTTTGTTTTTTCTCTTTTTCTTTCAATAATTTGTATTAAAAATATATATCCCATAAATGTTAGATTTTATAGGAACATATCTTTAAAAAAAAAAAAATATACATAAACTTTAATATTTAAATAAGATATTAGGAGAGTTTTGAATTTTTGTAAATATTATATATTGTACTAGAAACTATATTTTTTATAAGAAGTAAAATAAAATTTATAAGAAAATGAAATATTAAAAGAAAAAAAATGATTCTACAAAAGCTATTAAGGAAAAATTCACAAAAATCTTAGTAAAAAGTAATAAGAATGTATATTCCTTATTTTAATTTAAAAAATGGCATTTTTATATAATGACGGATGTGAAACTTCTGAAGGAGATTTCACCAAATGTTTTATGAATATATGTGAAATAAATTTAAATAAATTTGAAGCATCATATTGTAGAATTGAGCGACCAGTAGTTGATATAAAGAAGGCTTCAAATAAAAATTTAAATGATCTTTCAAAAAATTTATTCACAGACGAATATACTCCGTCAAATTTAAAATCTAGGATAATTATTCTTTCAAATAATGATAAAGATGGTATTTTGCTTCTGTATGAATATAATCCACATCAACATCAATATCCAGATAAAACATATTTATGCCGCCTTAGAAATATAAATCAAAAGTTAACATTATGCGAAGCCGTTAATGTAGAATATTTTGGAAGAAGTCTTACGTTTAAATCTTATGACATTATTAATGAAGAAAATGAAAAAAATAATATGATAAGTTTAAAAAACCCCAATCATAAAATTATTATATCAAAATATGATGAGTTAATATTTAAAGAACATTACTGCCATCCTATGAAAACAAAATATATTTCACATTGTAATAAAAGGTATACCATATGTAAAAAAATAAATAATGATCAATTGCATTGTTCCGATGCGAATTATAGTGGACATTTAATTAGATTAGATTATAATGAATATAATGTTTTAAAAAGAAATTATATATATCTTCCCAGTAGTTGCTTAAAAGAAAATTTAAATCCTGTATGCACTCCACATATATGCGTAAGCCATGCTTATAATGAATTCTTTCAATGTAAACATGAAGAAATCAGTATTATAAAAAACATAAGGCCAATAAATAACATAAGACCAATAAATAACATAAGGCCAATAAATAAATTAAGGTCAATACATATCATAGAACCAAATTCAAAAAATTTACCCGTAATGCCGTTAAAGCATAAGGATATTTCTCATAAAAATAGTTTTGATAATACTGCACTCTTTGCAATGTCTTTTATGCCTTTTCTAGTTCTATTCATTTTTTTTTTTTGCCTTTTATATAAAAAATGAAAAGGTAAATAAAAATCAGTGTGCATTAAATTAACAAAATTTTATATTTTTTCTTTTTTTTGTAGGAAAAATAAATTAATGATAAAAAAGGAAAATCATTACTTTTACTAAAAATATCAAGTATTCTTACAAAAAAAATACAAAATTAATAATAGGGTATTTATATTTTATATTTCATATATTTATTAGAATCAACAGGAAAAATTTTTATTACAATAAATAAATTATAAATCTTCAAAAAATTTCATATCTAGGTATAAATATATGATATACAAAATTGAACTGAAAATTTTTTTATGCTTAAATTTCTCAATTGCTATATGCTTTCTTGTTATATAAATGGATTTAAATTGTCTATGTGTTGATTTATTAATTTTATGTTAAAATATTTTGTTAGAGTAATGAACATATGAATTAATAAAGAAGAATTAAAATAATTTTTATTTTTGTCTTTCGAGAAAAATATCTTGTCATAATTATGTGAACATTACATGATTCATTATTAAAAGGAATTATTTATCTTTTTAAGAATAGAAAGTAATAGTTGTATAAAAATTCAATAGTTATCTATATAAACACTAGATAAAAAAGAAAAAGAATTGTTAATTTTTTTTCTTTTTCTTTTTAAAAATTAAAAATACCCAAAAAAGTTTATTTTTTGTCAAGAGATTAAATAATTGAAAAATTAAAAGGAATATTGTTGACTAAGAAATTTTTTCATAATATATTTTATTTAAATTTATATAAGAAAATTTTATATAAACGATGATAAATTTTTGTATTATTAATATAATTTATTTTTTATTTTGTTAATTATGTATGTTTGTTAATTTAGTGGAAATATATTAGAATTGCTAAGTTTTACTTATAACATTATAAAGCAAATATAATTAAAATTGATAATTAAAGAGGATTTAAATTTTTAATAGAAATATAGCATTTTTATCAAAGAAAATAAATGTCTCTTAAAAACCATAAACATTCAATAAAGTAAAGTAAATATATAGATTTTACTAGTTTATAGCATTAAAATTATACTTAAATTCATTGAATTAGTAGGGGTAAGTCTACGTACTTTTTATTAATATGTTTGTTCAATAATTTACAAAAGTCATTGAATATACAATTAATAAAGCAATAATACAATATACAATATTAAATCTATAGTTTATTTTATATGATATTCATAACACTTTAAACAAAAATATATCAAATTAATGATTTTATTACTATTTGCTAGGTAATAAAAACTATATTAGCTTATTTTTATATTACATATGCATTTATAAAACACTGGACTTCATGATATAGAAAAAGATCGTAAGATAAAATTATCAACATGAATTACAACAATCAATTCAAAACACTTCAGAAATTTTATTAACAATATTTATATTAACCCGTTTTCGTAGTTATGTATTGTTTAATAAAAGATATTATTAACCTCTTATGAAATATTAAGACATTAAATGGAGAATAAGTTATATATTTCAGAAAAAATCTAACAAAAAAAAAAAAAAAATCTTATTTTTATTATTAAATGTTTTTATTAGTTGTTTTTTACTTGATTTTAATTAAAAAAAAAAGAAAAAAAATTGTTTTTTTGAGTTATTGAAGGGATTTTTATTTATTTAGATATTAAATTTTGTCAGTTAAATTGATCTTAGAATAATTAAAAATTAAATTCACATTTTAAAGAAATATGAAAAATATATTATTTTTATTAATATTTAATTTTCATTTATTTTTAAAAGACTTTTAATAACTTTAAATAAAATTATTATGTCTCTTTAAAAGATTCCTTTCACAAGTGATCGACAATTTTAATGATGATTAAAGTTTTTAATGAAAATATGGATAAATTTTCATTAAAGTAAGAAAATACTTCTGAAACAATAAACGCTTAGCTATTTGTTAATAAAAAATATTAATAAGTTTATATGAAACAATCGAATCTTATGGAGAAAATAGAAAGCCATGCACATTCATTAAATAAAAAAAAAAAGGTTATTGATTTTTTTTATTTTATTTATTTTACTATATGACTGTAAATGTTCTGTTGAATTTTATCAGTTGATCTAATTATTAAGCTAACAAAAAATAAATTAAAACTTTAAAAAGAAAAAGAAGAAGAAAAAGGCTTTTTTTTATTATTGTTATTTAATTTTTATATATTTTTAAAAAACAGTAACTGTAATTTTAATTTTGTTAATTTATTTTAAAAGAATATTTTACACACAATAAAAAATTTTAAAGAAGATTTAGATTTTTAGTAAGAATAAGGACAATTTTTATTAAATTAATAAATTCCTCAAAAAATTATAAATGCTCATTTATTGATTTATTAATTGCAGTACAATGATTTGAAAGAGTATTGAACAAACAGATTAATAAAAATTATATATAGTTCCCTTCACTATTTTAATTAATTTAAATTTAATTTTAATTCTGCAATCCATTAAAATTTATTTATGCAACCTACTTCATTGAATATTTATTTTTATGAAATATATATTTACTTTAACCAAAATCCTGTACTTTTACTAAAAATTTAAATTCTCATTAATTATCGATATTTAATTAAAAATACTTTATTTATGAAGTTATAAACAATATTTAAAAATTCATGTCTTTCTTTTAATAGAAATGAGTAATTATTAAAATACAAAATTAACTTAAATAAATATAAAAAACATGAAAATTTAATTAGTGTAAGTATAACATTTTCTTTTTCAACAATAATCAAATTTAATTATAAAAAATTATATTCATCATTAAAATTAAATTTCGATAACTTAAAATTATTCATCAATTCTCA